TCCTTTATCATTCCTCATGATAACCAAGTCAAAATTAGAAATAAGATGCTAAGAGGCCAGGTGTGGTGGCTCATGCCTGTAACTCCAGCCATTTGGGAGTCTAAGGTGGGCAGATCACCTGAGGTCAGGAGTTCGAGATAAGCCTGACCAACATGCAGAAACCCTGTCTCTAAAAAAAAAAAAAAGAAAGAAAGAATATGCTAAGAATACAAAGGTGGGCCAGGCGCGGTGGCTCACACCTGTAATCCCAGCACTTTGGGAGGCCGAGGCGGGTGGATCACGAAGTCAGGAGTTCGAGATAAGCCTGACCAACATGGTAAAACCAAAACTCCATCTCTACTACAAATACAAAAATTAGCCAGGCATGNTTAGCTGGGCATGGTGGCGCATGCCTGTAATCCCAGCTACTCAGGAGGCTGAGGCAGGAGAATTGCCTGAACCCAGGAGGCGGAGGTTGCAGGGAGCTGAGACCGTGCCATTGCACTGCAGCCTGGGTAACAAGAGCGAAACTCTGTAAAAAAAAAAAAAAAAAAAGAATACAAAGGTGGCTCTATATTAATATTGTATTGATAGGTCAAAGGAGAAAAACCATGAGATCAATTCATTAGATACTGAAAAGTCTAAAAAAAATTTTAACAAAAGATACTGAAAAATCTTGTAAATTTAATGTCTTCTTGCTTTCTTTATTAACTAACGAAACAAGAATAAGTAATAGCATAGCCATAAATAAAAAACTTCCTAAATGTAATTTTTAAAAATCTCAAACTAAAAATGAGAATCATACTTAAACGTTAGAAGCATTCCCAGGAGAGTTGGAAACAAGATTGCTATGCCTGCTATCACTACTTAACAATTCATGTTTTAAGTCCTAGCAAGTACAAAAGAGAAAAGAGGCGTAAATATTAGAGAAGGAAAAATTATTTTTTGCAAATGGCATGATTTTTTGTGGGGGTGGGGAGGCCTGGAAATCCCAGAAATCAAGTGAGAAACTTTGAAGAATAAAATAATTCAGTAATATTGCTTACTTATCATCAATGGGTTCTTGGAAAGTGCAACTTTAAGCAAAGCGATGCATAGCAAAACGAGTTTTATGCTAGGTTAAATATAAACAAGAGTTAAATTCCTACAGCATATTTCTGGTCAGAAAAACATCACTAAATGCTTGTAGTATTAAACATTTAAATGACGTCTACTAAAAATTTTAAAACTTAGTTGGATGTGGTGGCGGACGCTTGTGGACCATGCTACTTACAAGGCTGAAGTAGGAGGATCACTTGAGCCTGGGAGGTCAAGGTTGCGGTGAGCAGTGGTCATACTACTGCACACCAGCCTGGGTGACAGAGCAAAACCCTGTCTCAAAAAAAAAATTGAATGTGAGTTGTGTATACATTTAAGAAAGATGAATAAAAAGTAAGATAATTATCTGCCTCCCTGTTCCAGTTCAGGGTCTCAATGGCTAGAGCCTTTCCTGGCAATTCAGGGCCCAAGGTGGGAACTAGCCCTGAACAGGACGCCATCCCATCGCAGAGTGCTCTCATGCACACCCACACTCACTGATACTGGGCTGTGTAGACACACACACCCATTTATGTGCATCTTTGGGATATGGGAGGAAGTTCAAGCATTGGAGAAAACCCATTAAGATGTGGGGGGAATGAGCCAACTTCACGTTGACAGTGACCTCAGCTGGAACTCCCTTTTTTTCTCATAAACATTAGAACAAAATTAAGTTGAATGAAACATTTTTTGAGGACCTCCTGTAGACTAAAATTTTAAAACCCTGTTCCGTATATGAACAATCAGAAAATATAATGAAAGAGCCTATTTACAACCACAGGAAAAAGTTTAACAGTTAGAAATCTACTAAAAATACACAATTAGGGCATGGGGTGTGTGCCTGTAATCCCAGCTACTCGCAAGGCTGAGGCAGGAGGATTGCTTGAACCCAGCAGGTAGAGGTTGCAATGGGCTGAGATCAGGCTATTGCACTCCAGCCTGGGTGGCAGAGTGAGACTCTGTCTCAAAAAAAATAAAATATAAAAATAAATAAATTCAGGGGGAAGCAATAGAAACAATAGAAAATAAAAGTTAATATAATTATGTAGTGCTTACATTATTTTAAGTAATATAGAGATGCTTTATACAGGAGGATGTGCATAGGTTATATCTAAATACTATACCATTTTTATATCAGGTACTTGTGCATCCTGGGATTTGAGTATCTGTGGGGTTCCTAGAACCATTCTCCTTCAGATATCAAGGGATGACTATATCTTGTTCTTGACAGAGAAGATTTGACATTTTAAATATATCAGATGTTCCTGTAGATTAATTTGTAAATTTAATGCATTTCCAACTAGAATGCTAACAGGCTTATTTATTTTTTTAATGACCTGGAAAAAGTAAAAATACATATACAGGAAAATCTGAAGAAAAAGAAAACAGTAGAGTGACTCAAATGTTTATTTAAAATATATTGTAAAGCTTCTGTAGTTAAAATGGAATGATACAGTTGCAGACCAGTAGGAAAGAATAAAGTCAGCTGGGTGCGGTGGCTCACGCCTATAATCCCAACACCTTGGGGGAGGCCACAGCAGGAAGATCATTTGAACTCTGGAGTTCAAGACTGGCCTGGATAACATGGTGAAATCCCGTTTTTACAAAAAATTAGATGGGCAGAATCGATTGAGCTCAGAGGTCAGGGCTGCAATGAGCTATGATGGTGCCACTGCACTCCAGGCTTGGCAACAAAGCAAGACCCTGTCTCGAAAAGAAAAGGAAAGAATAAAGTCCACAATATCTGTGGGACATGAAGGAGGCTCTGTAGCCTGCTTGTTAAGAGCCTAAACTTGAGGCAAACTATACTGGGTTTGAACTGCTTCTCTCCTTGTCATTGGCTCTGGGACCTTAAACAGGTCAACTTGCCAAGCTTCCTCTTCTCCAGCTGTAAACTAGGAGTGAAAATAAAATTTGCATCATAAGGTTCTGGAGCTACCAAGTGAGGTGGTGCACACTGCCTGTTCCACGGTAAACATTGGATAAATGCTACTTATAAATGGCAGCAGTAGAGTGTGGTAAAGGTAGCTTGTCCAATTAGTTGGGAAAAGATAGATTATTTGATAATTATTCTTTGGAAGAATTTGAAAATTTTAAACAAGTTAAACCATAAAAATATGAAAGCAAGGCTAATCTCAGAGTAGGGAAGGCCTTTGTAAGTAAATCACAAAAGCCAGAAGCCACATGTAGGAAAATATTGATAGATTTGATTACATGAAATTTAAAACTTTTGTACCAAAATATGCCATTTAAGAGATCTACAGATAAAAGGAATTTGGGAGAAAAATTTTAATCTCATGATGAGAACTAGTCTCCTTAGTATGTTATAAAGCTGAGAAAAAAAGATGCACTACTGAGCAATGAAATGATGAAAGGTAAAGAGTACAAACCGGCTGGGCGTAGTGGCTCACGCCTGTAATCCAAGCACTTTGGAGGCCAAGGCGGGTGGATCACCTGAGGTTGGGAGTTCAAGACCAGCCTGACCAACATGGTGAAACCCTGTCTTAAGAAAAAAAAAAAAAAAAAAAAAAAGAATACATAGATACAGTCCTTTATTTATGTAAAGTCAAAGAACAAGGAAAATTAAGTCAAAAATTGACTGCCATGGGGCATGGCAGTTGATTGGAAAGGAGGACGAGTAAACTTTCTAGAGTGAAAAATGTTCTATATCTTGAGGTGGTTAGAGTTGGTGACAGTTGTCAGAACTTGTTAATCTAAACTCTTAAGATCTCTGCATTTGGTTGAGTGTTAATTACACTTCAATTTAAAAATTGGTAAAAGTAGTTCAGGATATCAGTAAATTTAAATTTGGGGTTATACACCGTGACTCATGCTTATAATCCCAACATTTTGGGAGGCTGAGGCAGGAGGGTCCCTTGAGACCAGGAGTTTGAGACCAGGCCTGGGCAACATACTGAGATACCTATCTGTACAAAAAAAAAATTTTTTAATTGAAGAAATTCTTGGGGCATGGTGGCATAAGCCTGTAGTGCCAGCTATTAGGGAGACAGACAAGAAGATGACTTGAGCCCAGATTAAGACTGCAGTGAGCTGTGATCTCACCACTGCACTCCAGCCTGAGTGACAGAGTAAGACCCTGTCTCCAAAAAAAAAGAAAAGGAAATGTAAGTTTAAATTAGACGCTAATTTTTAGTATCGTCATTATAAACAATTAATAAATTTTAATATCCAGGGGTAAAAAAGGAGTTGAGTGACTGTAAATTGACATGGATTTTTCAAATGGATTTTCGATAAATTTATCTGTTGACTCTGTAGATTACATGACCAGTGCTTCTTCCTGGTGATAGATTCTCACTCATGAACAAAGATAAGTGTTCAGAGATGTTCACTGTATTATATTTAAAACAACCTGGCCGGGCGCGGTGGCTCAAGCCTGTAATCCCAGCACTTTGGGAGGCTGAGGCGGGTGGATCACGAGGTCAAGAGATCGAGACCATCCTGGTCAACATGGTGAAACCCCGTCTCTACTAAACTACAAAAAATTAGCCGGGCATGGTGGCGCGTGCCTGTAATCCCAGCTACTCAGGAGGCTGAGGCAGGAGAATTGCCTGAACCCAGGAGGCGGAGGTTGCGGTGAGCCGAGATCGCACCATTGCACTCCAGCCTGGGTAACATGAGTGAAACTCCGTCTCAAAAAAAATAAATAAATAAATAAATAAAACAACCTATACTGCTACAAAAATAATGTAAATGAAATTACAAATCATTTGTGTATGATGTGCAGCCATGAAAAGGGACAAAGTTGATAGAACTGGATGAACTGTGTGGAATACTTTCCTATGTAAAGAAAAACACTTTACAAAAAAGATTCCATTTAAGTAATAATAATGTATGCATAGAAAGTTCCTTAAGGAATATTTAAGAAATGGTGAACACTGATTTTGAAATTTTTCTTTCTTCCTTCATTTCTTTCTTTTTTTTAGGAAAATGTCTGATGAATTTTCGGTAAGTTGATGAGTTTATCCATGATAAGTTTTTCATTTCTTAAGAAAAACAACATGGCCCTAACTGTGGGCTACATAAATCTTTTCACTTAAAAGAGATTGTTTTAGCTGGGTGTGATGGCGTGCACCTGTAGTCCTAGCTACTTGGGAGGATCCCTTGACCCCAAGAGTTCCAGGCTATAGTGAGCCATGATCATGCCATTGCAGTTCTGCTTGGGCAACAGAGTGAGACCCTGTCTATAAATAAATAAAAGAGATGCTTTTTGTGATTCTTGGTTTTGGGGGTGGGGGAGGAATTTTGATAGGTGATTTGCCTTAGTTTACTTAGATAATATGTTTGGAAATGTTTCCTATATATTTATGAATCCTTAAATGAAAATTTAAGATGTTACTTCTGTTGTTCTCTTTTACCCTGAGAGTATTAATCAAAGCCAACATTTATTGGAAATTGTTAAATACCAGGCACTCTTTTAAGTGTACTACATGAATTATCACATTTAAGCCTCAAGTTAACCCTAAAACAGTTTTTGAAAAGAAGCTCTATCTCGGAGTATGTAACTCCTTTGAGATAAAGCCAGGATTTAAATTCATATCTTGACTGTTCTAGCCTCTTAATTACTATGCTTTGTTATATTAATACAGCAGAGAAATGAAGCATATGATTAGTTGTATTTAGAAAACTTGAGCTTCTTTGAAGAATTTGTGTTGTAAAGTTGAGATTCAAAGTAACACCTCAAGTTTTGTGTTAAATAGAGTATTTTTTATATGAAAAGCTTAGCTTTTGAAGATGTTCTTGGAGTTTATAATCCCTCGCTCTATAGCTTACTGTTTATTTTCTGTGGGTTTATAATAGTGTTTGATATGACTTTTCCCTAGATAAGATAGATAAGATGTATCTGTTTTGTATTCCAGTTGGCAGATGCACTACCTGAACACTCCCCTGCCAAAACGTCTGCAGTGAGCAATACAAAAACTGGCCAACCTCCTCAAGGCTGGCCAGGCTCCAACCCTTGGAATAATCCGAGTGCTCCACCTTCGGTGCCATCTGGACTCCCACCAAGTGCAACACCCTCTACTGTGCCTTTTGGACCAGCACCAACAGGAATGTATCCCTCCGTGCCTCCCACCGGACCACCTCCAGGACCCCCAGCACCCTTTCCTCCTTCCGGACCATCATGCCCCCCACCTGGTGGTCCTTATCCAGCCCCAACTGTGCCAGGCCCTGGCCCCACAGGGCCATATCCTACACCAAATATGCCCTTTCCAGAGCTACCTAGACCATATGGTGCACCCACAGATCCAGCTGCAGCTGGTCCTTTAGGTCCATGGGGATCCATGTCTTCTGGACCTTGGGCTCCAGGAATGGGAGGGCAGTATCCTACCCCTAATATGCCATATCCATCTCCAGGGCCATATCCTGCTCCTCCTCCTCCCCAAGCCCCTGGGGCAGCACCACCTGTTCCATGGGGCACTGTTCCACCAGGAGCCTGGGGACCACCAGCACCATATCCTGCCCCTACAGGATCGTATCCTACACCAGGACTCTATCCTACTCCCAGTAATCCTTTCCAAGTGCCTTCGGGACCTTCTGGTGCTCCACCGATGCCTGGTGGCCCCCATGTGAGTGTTCAATTTGTTATTTTAAATGTACTGATTGTACATAAGCACAACTGAAAGATTGTTTCTCCCCAGTTTTGGATGGAAGATTAAGAAAGCTTTTAGGGTTTTAAAAGAGGGTGGGTATATATTAAATGAGTAAATTTCAAACCTTCAGGTGAAGCATTTAAAAATGAAAGCACTATTTTAAGTATTCCTTGTGCTAAAAAGAAAAATTTTCCAAAGATCCCCAGAGACTTTGTAATGTAGTAAGCAGTGTCCTCAGTAGCATCCTTTAGGTAAACTCTGAAGTTCATTTCATTAGGATGTTTTGTTTTATTATTATTTCTCAGTATTGTTTTGTAGCATCATACCAAAGCTCAGTTCAATACAAGCAGGCTCTACCTGTCTGGCCTGATAGAGGTAGATTTTTAGAGAATCCAAGGCAATAAGTAGATAACGTTGCTCATCTTTCAAGCAATTCTCGAACTCAAGATTATACCCCTATTCTTTATTGTCAGTTTACATATAATGCTTTATGCTTTACTGTCGCCAGAGTGGGGTTAACATCTTAGTTGAGGAGCCTGTTTTGGTCATATAACTGAGTAGAAAAGTACTCCTGTGAGGTAAGCCAAGTGAGTATCCAAATGCAGCGTAAAGAACTTAACTTAGGAAAAAAATTTGGGAACTTTTTTTTTTTTTTTGAGACAGAGTCTTGCTCTGTCACCCAGGTAGAAATGCAGTGGCACGATCTTGGCTCACTGCAACCTCCGCCTCCTGGGTTCAAGCTGTTCTCTTACCGCAACCTCCTTAGTAGCTGGGATTACAGGCATCCGCCACCATGCCCAGCTAATAATTTTTGTATTTTTAGTAGAGACAGGGTTTCACCATGTTGGCCAGGCTGGTCTTGAACTCCTGACTCAAGTGATCCACCTGCCTCAGCCTCCCAAAGTGCTGGGATTACAGGCCTGAGCATCCTCACCTGGCCAGGAAATAAAAATCTGTTGACTCTTAACACAAAATAACTAGTTAGATCTTCAATTAGATTAGTCAGACATCCACTTCAGCTATAAAGGGAAAAAAAAAAACCATAAAGTACCCCCAAAACTTGAATTTCTTGCTATATATATATTCTCTAAAAATATTTGGTTTTGCGTTAAGTGTATGCCATAGTAAATGACGTAATTTGGTTTTTGGATTTATTAAGCAATAAATTTAAGCCACAGTAAGGAGTTAATAAACTCCATTTGCAAAATCTAGAAGTTGACTTTTTCTTTCTTCTATTTCAGTCTTACCATTAAGTTAACAATGGACGAAGAGATGACGCTTTGCTTTTTGAAGTACATCTATATGCACATGAATGCATATATAAAAATTGCTGGTTTCACTATTAGAGGGCATTCATGAAAGAACAACTCTTGCACCTCTCAGAGAAGATAACTGCCTCTTGTACTTGGATGTGTAGTACATCATATGTATACAATCAGATAAAAGCATAGAAGTAAATCATTCGGATGTGATTTTTGTTTGGTTTTCATGGAAAGTTAAAGTGATTAAGTATATTGAATAGCTCTTTGACAGAATTTGTTTAAACTATGAAACTACACACTTAAAAATCTAAGATGATGTGTGGATTATTGTTAGAATCTGCAACTCATTGGCAATTTATTTCAAGTATTTTTCTATAATCACTTTCCCCTCCAAATAAATACACTTTGAGTATAACCCCTCATATCTAAACAAATGATGCCTCTCAACATTTTGAGCTGCTCTGTCAGATAAATAAACCTGGTCCTCTTGAGGTTATATTTTGGATATACATTTTTAAACTGTCAGTAATTATTGTCAGATGTGAAGTTTAGTAGACAGCCAGTGTTCATTTTTATCCTTGAGCTTTTAATAAAACTTCGTTTGTTTTTAGTCATATGGGCCATACAGCACTAAAGTCTGCTCTTTATGGAAACTAACTTTTTTCTTTTTAATCCAGGCCAACATGTATGTAAATTAAATTTTTAGATAATTGATTATCTCTTTATACTACTTGAGATTTGATTATGAGATGTGCATATTGCTTTGGAAAAAGCTCAAGGAAGGAAAGAATTCTCTCCTTTGTTTTGAACCTCAAACTAGATAAACCCTAGGAATTGCTTAATTGCAACAAGTAGTTTTCTTTCCCACAAAAAACTGAGGCAGCTCTTCTGCCCAGGGCATTCCCTGCAGCCACCCCCACCCCAGTTGCCCTTGGTTCTTTAGAAGGAGCACAGCCCTTGATTCCTCCCTGATGTGCTAAACTGGCACACTCTAGAGGTGTAAAACATAAAACAGTTGTGTTTAGAGAACCTTAAGTCATGCAGATATGACTGTTCTCTTTGTACAAGTGTGAATCAAAATAATGTATCTTTCAGAGTCTGGTTAAGCTATGTCATTGTCTCCTGCATAGTTTCCTGAGTCTTTTTGTAAAGTGCTTTTGGCTAACAGTTCAGTTCTGTATTTGTTGACAGGTAAATAAGTGGAGTTGAGTGCCATCTTTGAAAAAATTACCCTCTAGCTCTAACACTGAAAATAATAAATTGTAGATCTCTGCAACTGAGTTTAAAGCAGTGTGACTGTATTGCTTAAATATTAATTATTGTTTATAACCACCAAAAAACAGCCCTAGTAGTTTTTTGGCACCTTATGTTTAAATCAGATTCTTAGATTTGGGGTAGACCTGACCTTGTTATTTATTAGATAACATTTTGAATGTATCCATTGGATTTCTAAAATGTATTGTGAATTTTCTCAGACAAACAGGATTTATGCTGGAGCTCTGTTTTTGCTTAGAAATAAAATATTTAGTTTATTTCTGCTCTAATTAAAATGTCAAGAATGCCAAATGCTGCCAGTTTTTTGGTTTGATAGCTACCTCCTTTTAAGAAAGCAGAATGGTTACCTTTGAGAGGAACATTCAGTGTTTAAGCCTCCATTGTGTTAACTAGATGATAGATTCAAGCGTTCAGAAATGAGAAACTAACTTGTTAACATATTTTCAGATTGGGGAAAGTTGTTAGATGGCTCTTACCATAGTGACAAATGTCATCATTTTTTCTTTCACATCTCTGTAAGGACAGGTGTTGGCTATCTACAATACTATGGAACTCTTGTCAAAGTAGCCCCCAGTTGACAAGGCAGGTAACCTTAGGAGTCACAGCTTGAATTGTCATCAACATCAAAATGTCAGTTAACCAGGCCGGGCGCGGTGGCTCAAGCCTGTAATCCCAGCACTTTGGGAGGCCGAGGCGGGTGGATCACGAGGTCAAGAGATCGAGACCATCCTGGTCAACATGGTGAAACCTCGTCTCTACTAAAAATACAAAAAATTAGCTGGGCATGGTGGCGCGTGCCTGTAATCCCAGCTACTCAGGAGGCTGAGGCAGGAGAATTGCCTGAACCCAGGAGGCGGAGGTTGCGGTGAGCCGAGATCGCGCCATTGCACTCCAGCCTGGGTAACAAGAGTGAAACTCCATCTCAAAAAAAAAAAAAAAAATGTCAGTTAACCATGGAGGGATAAAATGATCTGAAAAGTGAGATGGCTGCAAAGATACCTCTCCTTAAGTTACTTTAGCTATCCTACATTGGGATAAGCTGACAGCTTAGCAGTATTTAGTTTAACACTACAGCGGGTATAATTTGACTAGGAAGAAGAGATAGCAGTTTTAGGATTCTATAAATGTGAAGTCCATTGATTTGGGGAGAAAAATCTGTTGCTAAAGCACATGAAGGGCTATGAATACGATTTGGGATTGCTACTCCCAATAAGCATAACTTTGCTAGTGACCCATACTGCCCATGTGCCCTAAATGATACTGCCATTGTAGTCCCTTTGTTTTCAAGGACTTTACGACTGGTATTTTGGGGATTTTTTTTTTTTTTTGATGTAAGAATGGAGATAAAAGGGATAATAGAATTTGCTTTTATATTCTTGTTATTTTTGTAAAGCATCTTTTCTTCAATTCTTGTTGGCATTCTGGGCCAAAAAGTATTTTAGGTTGGTTCAGTGTGGAGTTAAGAAAGGCAGGAGTTTCAGTGGAGGAATGGGGAACGGCACAGAGAAAGGCTTTTTTCCTTTTTAAAAGGGAATAATGTTGCTTTCAATACAAGACATGATAGGCTGAAATTGGTTTATGGAAAAGACTGCTTGCTAGCAAGTATGTTTGGTCTTAGTGGGGATACAGATTATAGAATATGCTGACATTTGGGCTTCAGAGGAAGAACTTTCAAATACATCTAACGGAAATAGTTGAGATGTGTTCAGAAATACTGTTTCTGGAGTTGGAATCTTAAGTTTTGAAATGTTGAAACCAAAAAGACAAAAATTAAAACATGGACCTAATAGACCTTAGGTCCTCATTCACACACAGTTCTCAAGAATCAAGTGGAGTGCTTCAGATAACCTTGGCTTGTCTGTCCCAGCCTGCCACCACCTCATCTTTTCATGCTTTTAAAGACACCATTTACAGCTCTGACTCAGCCCTATTTTGTGTAAAGTAATACACTGATTATTCAGAAATAGACAATACATTTTCTAATTACCCAAGGACTGACTTCCTTGTCTACTTTACTGTAGGTTGTCTTCAGTAGAGAAGAGTAATAGGGCAGAGAAGAAAAGTATATATTTTGCCTCAGTCAGTCACACCACTACAACGGACTATTGGAGTATTTTCTAGAAAACCAATCAATTTGCCCTTGATATGTTACCTCACAAATTATTAGTGCTACCTATGGCACTCATGTACAGCTTTTGAAACTTTGTGTAGATGAAAATAGCTCTACTCAGAGTTTTTGTTAAGACTGTGCCTACTTTAAATATCAATTGCCTACACTTCTTAACAATAAGTGCCAATGTCTCAATTCTCTCACCCTGAATGACAGAAGCTAGTTTTATCAAATGCCAGGGTTAGAAAGCCTGGAAATTAGGCACAAACTTCCAAGTTTTTGAAGACCATAAGCCTAAATTCAGATAAATCACACTGATCTATTGTACTATGCATAGAAAGTTGTATGTGGCTTTCAGGGAAGACTATTTTTTGATTTTAATAAAGCAATATTTAGTATTGAAGACAGACACTTTTCAGAATTCTGCCATGTAAAACAAAAATTGCCAATAAAAATCAGTATTTTGTAAATGCCAGGCAAGCTTCTAGCTATCGAAAACATCTGAGTCATTCAGTAGATGCTATTGTCCTTGATCCAGGTTCTTTGCCAGCTATGAGGGAATCCCTGTCCTTGAGAGGCTCATAGTCTAGAAGTAACATTACAGAATTGGTTAGCACACCATTCATTATTAGTTTACCTAGATAAACGTGTTAGGGTTGCTGCTGGTGGAAATTATAACCAGCCTTTGGGCATTTTAAAGGGCAACATGTGGCATACCTTTTCTAAAAACAGAGTTAATGTTTTTCAAGATTGTAGTGTTGAGCACAATTCAAGTGTGCAAAGTAACAGGATAGTTTGTTTGCCTCTTCACTTTACCCCTGGATAAAGGCACTTTCACTGCCTGTCACTGATTAACAGATACTGACTTGTTGCCATTAAGTAAACTTGACTGTGTGCTCTATGAAAGTTCTTTGTAATTTTCTTGAAATTGTGATTTTTCATTGACAGTAATGACAAATTTAATGTATGTAATTGTCTATACATTTTAAGTTAAACTGCCTAAAATGTGATTTGAGACATATACATTTGTTTGTATTGTAAATTGTAAGCAATCAGTTTGAGTACTAGATTTTATCACCTGCTGCTGTATTTGTAAACAAAGACAAATGTTGCTTTAAAAAGTAATTATAATTAGGAATAGGCTATGGATGTGATACTTGATATTTTTTAAGATAAACTTGTTTGCTTTTGTGTATTATACCTGAAAACTTTTTTAAAAAATGTATTTTCATGGTTTCACAGATTTTTTCATGTTTATTCTTTAGGCCTAATTCTGGGCTTCTCTGAGCAAGTCCAGAGCCTAATTAACACAAATTTGTTGTCATAAAGGAGGGAAAAAGGGCCTGAGATACCTTTTTGCATGTGACCTACATTGACTAAGGATGTCTGGAAACAACCATTCCTCCACACACCCTCTTTCAGCAACATGGTGTCCATTGTCTCCTTTCAAGGCTAGGCTACTCTTTGTAACCAGATTATCTGCATATACAATAATATGAAGTCAGGGAACTTTCCCTGTCCCCACTCCCCTCACTCCCCCACTTTCTGTTATCAAAGATAGTTCTACTTTTGTCATTAACTGCTACACATTTAGTGAAGGTCACATTATTAAACTTGGTGGAGTTTACCATTTTCCCGCAGCAGGTTTTGCTGTCATTTCTTGGAACTCCAGTTGGAATAGGGCAATGAATGAATGAATGCAGTACTTCTATTTTTGGAAGGAATTCCTTCATTTTGCCTTATAATTGAACAAAATGCAGCTGTAAAATTTTAAATTGTTTTTGATATGTTACTCAATATCCCATGAAAGTATCCTCCTAAAGTGGAGCTATGAAATGGATGGTGCAATAAGACCATTCTGGAGCAGGGCCAGTTTCTATATTTTCCTGTTGTGAGATGACATTGCTCTGACAAACATGCTATCCTCGTTACCTGACCCAAGCAAGTGCTTTTTTTAAATCACTGTATTGATACTCTTAGCACCAATCCTTTTGCAACCCATCTCGAAAGCAAAATAGAATTCTGAATATTAGCTCACTTATTTTAAATGAGGCATACAATAGAATTCTAATGCCAGAAGAGGATTTGGGTCATCTCATAGAGCTTATTCCTGTGGCTTTTATTTGTTTTCAAGACAGAGTCTCACTGTGTCGCCCAGGCTGGAGTGCAGTGGTGCAATCTCACCTCACTGCAAACTTCAGTTCAAGCGATTCTCCTGCCTCAGCCTCTCAAGTAGCTGGAATTACAGGTGCCCACCACCAGTCCTAGCTAATTTTTGTATTTTTACTAGAGATGGGGGTTTGCCGTGTTGGCCAGGCTGGTCTCAAACTCCTGACCTCACATGATCCATCCACCTCAGCCTCCCAAAGTGCTAGGATTACAGGCTTGAGCCACCACGCCCGGCTCTCCTGTGGCACTTAAACTTTTCTCTCATTTTTTTTCTCATTTGATTTTCCCAGTGCCGAGGAGAGGATCAAGTGAATAGATATTATAGAGCTTAGTTTCTCCCTTTCACTAAAGCACTTCCACTTGGCACTTTATGTGTTTTCCTTACTGGTAAGTTGTTTCAGGAAGGGTAGAGATTTGCTGCTTTTAAATTTTAAAAAAACTGCCATTATAGATGACCATGTCTCCTGCTTGAGGTTTATTTAGATCATAGTCAAAAGTTCTCAAGTATAATAAAATCAGGTCATCTGGGATTCTAAGCCATCCTTAGAATGGCTTCTTTAGAAAAGAAGAAATAGAACATTTTTTAAGTTTTCTCCGATTATGTTTTCTGTCAGAGGTTGTTTTATTTAATGGCCACTTTGTCTAGCTTTCCTTAAAGATATGTAGATTTAAAAGTCTCTTTAGAGGTAAGGAAACCAAGTTTAAAAGAGATGTGCGGTGCTTCATGCTTGTGTAATCCTAACACTTTGAAAGGCCAGGGCAGGAGGATCATTGGAAGCCAGGACTTTGAGACTAGCCTGGGCAACATAGCAAGACCTCATCACAAACCAGAATTTAAGAATTAGCCAGGTGTGGTGGCGTGTGCCTCTAGTCCCAGCTACTCAGGAGGCCAAGGTGGCAGGATCACTTGAGCCCTGGAGTTAGAGGCTACAATGCTGCACTCCAGCCTAGACAACAGCAAGATCCTGTCTCTAAAAAGGTTAAATTCCCAGAGTCATACCACATAAATAATGGAACCAGCTCTTCCAACACCAAGGCTTAGAATTTAAACACTAGGTTCATGCATCTAGTACTGCAATTTTTCCAAAACCATACCTGGAAAGTCAAATCTATCTAATACTGAATGTTATGTAGCAAGCCTCTCACATATCATTTAGTGAGTTTCATTGAACATTCAGGAAAAAAAAAAAGCTAATGGTTATGTTTGAAATGCATTGTTTTGTGAATAATCACAGTTCTTAAATTGCTAATCTAGAACTTGAGTTGTGTTTTCATAAAGGCAAATGTTCAAAGGTGTAACAGTTAAGCGTGGGTTTAAAATGTGAATGTGTGAGGCCGGGCGCGGTGGCTCAAACCTGTAATCCCAGCACTTTGGGAGGCCGAGGCGGGTGGATCACGAGGTCAAGAGATCGAGACCATCCTGGTCAACATGGTGAAACCCCGTCTCTACTAAAAATACAAAAAATTAGTTGGGCATGGTGGCACGTGCCTGTTATCCCAGCTACTCAGGAGGCTGAGGCAGGAGAATTGCCTGAACCCAGGAGGCAGAGGTTGCAGTGAGCTGAGATTGGGCCATTGCACTCCAGCCTGGGTAACAAGAGCGAAACTCCGTCTCAAAAAATAAATAAATAAATAAATAAAATAAAATAAAATAAAATAAAATAAAATGAGAATTGTTAAGAAAAGGTAGCGGATGATGAAACCCCTAGTTCCAGGTCCAGCCTTTGCAGTTACCAGTCATTGGGGACATGGGTATCCAGCTACCCTGCAGTGGTACACACTAGGCCAAGGCTGTCAGAGCAGCTGAGACAGAAGAGGTCTCTGTTAGCAGTGCATGGGCAGCCAAGATGTACAGGAACTGCACAGAGTGTGGAAGAGTCAGAGGGAGGTTCTGCCAAGCATGGCGTGACAGTTCTTTTTTTAAACGTGCCAATGCAGGACATGCTAAGTTAAAATATCTTAACTGTTGCTTAGTTACTGCAACACACAAAAACCCCAAGTACTAAGCTTAATGAATCACCTGCATCCCTTCTTGAATGCTCAAATCTACAAAAAGACCAAACTGCATGACTAATGATTAGGACTCTTACTTGGGCTTTTTATAGAAGTGGGTTGAAGAGGACTTGTGCGAACTAGGAAAAGCAGCTTCCAAACATAAGATTTCTTGTCTGAAAGGTGTTAATAAGTCTCCACCTCCCATGCATCTGAGATCAGATTCTAAAAGGCAGCCCTTCATGGCTCAGCAAGTAACACAACTGCTGGGGATTCACAGGGCAGAGTTTGTATTTTTATTTTTTACTTTCTAAATCGGTATTGGGTCATGAATTTATTTTTTAGAGTTTTTATTTTGAGCTTTGATCTCAGCTCTGGTGTGTGATTTAGGGCAATTGATTAGTTTGCCGTACTCACTTCCCTTACCTATAAACATACCAACACTCAAAGTACCATGAGGGAAAAAACATTCTTCATTCCCTCTAGCCAGAGATCCACTGGGTATGTTAGCATACCCCAAACAATGCACATCTAATACAGTATGTCTACATGAATATTCCTTTTGTAAAGGCCAGGTGGTTGCGTTATTGCACTCCAGTCTAAGCAACAGAGTGAGACTCCGTCTCCAAAAAAAAAAAAAAAATCAGATTATCACACAGATGTGGTGGCTCATGGCTATAATCCCAGCTACTTGAGTGGCTGAGGCGGGAGGATCACATGAGCCCAAGAAGCAAAGGTAGCAATGAGCCATGATGGCACCATACCTGAGTGACAGAGTAAGATCCTGTCTCAAAAAAAATTAGATGATGATCTAATTAGATGATCAAGGTCAAGGATTAAACGTTACACAATGTGATTAGCTCTTATTTCACATGGCCGGGGGAACAGGGAGTATACAATGTGATCATAGTATTTATCAACCACCAACCTTGTGCTCCAAGCAAGTGGTCATACATCCCAGTTAGCCTGGAATTATTCTCGTTTCTGTTTTCCAGGTATCATTTTTTTTCTGAGACGGAGTTTTGCCTTTGTCGCCCAGGCTGGAGTGCACTGGCACGATCTCAGCTCACTGCAACCTCCACCTCCCGGGTTCAAGTGACTCTCCTGCCTCAGCTTCCCGACTAGCTGGGATTACAGGTGCACGCCATCACATCCAGGTAATTTTTGTATTTTTAGTAGAGACGCGGTTTCATCATGTTAGCCAGACTGGTCTCAAACTCCTGACCTCAGCTCATCTGCCTGCCTTGGCCTGCCAAAGTGCTGGGATTATAGGCATGAGCCACTGTGCCCAGCCTCCAGGTATAATTATTGAAGCACCTCCTTTGTATCCTCAAAAGTGTCCTGGTTTTAATGATAAGTTACATGATTGTCCTAAATATAACAACAACAAAAAAAAGAGTACCAGTGAAGATTTTATTTCCTCAGAGAAAAAAAAATGTTTTTTTATCCTAAAAAAACATGTTTTGAGGGCCAGGCTCAGTGGCTCACTCCTGTAATCCCAGGACTTTGGGAGGCCAAGACGCGTGGATCGCCTGAGGTCCGGAGTTTGAGACCAACCTGACCAACATGGAGAAACCCCGTATCTACTAAAATGCAAAATTAGCCAGGCGTGGTGGCACATGCATGTAATCCCAGCTACTCGGGAGGCTGAGGGAGGAGAATTGCGGGAGGAGGAGGTTGCGGTGAGCCAAATCACGCCACTTCACTCTGGCCTGGGCAACAAGAGTGAGACTCCATCTCAAAAAAAAAAAAAAAAAAAAAACAACCCTGGCCAGGCGCGGTGGCTCAAGCCTATAATCCCAGCACTTTGGGCAGCCGAGGCAGGTGGATCACAAGGTCAAGAGATCAAGACCATCCTGACCAACATGGTGAAACCCCATCTCTACTAAAAATACAAAAATTAGCTGAGCGTAGTGGCGTGCGCCTATAGTCCCAGCTACTCAGGAGGCTGAGGCAGGAGAATTGCTTGAACCCGGGAGGCGGAGATGCAGTGAGCCGAGATTATGCCACTGCACTCCAGCCTGGCACTTGGTGACAGAGTGAGACGCTGTCTCAAAAAACAAAAACAAAAACAAAAAGGTGTTTTATCATAGAAGTTACCCCTTCATTCACATACAGTTGGCCCCTTGTATCTGTGGGTTCTGCATCTGGGGATTCAACCAACCTCAGGTG